GTATATACCTATGAGTTTTTTATTTTATGTGAAGAAGGAAGGCAACAAGAGAACGAGGTGTAGGTGTCTTACCTGGATTTTTTATTTTTAAAATTTGACAATTATTATTAATTAGCCCTATTTAAAAAAAAAATATTAAAACACTCACACGTGAGTGTATTGACTTTGTTTGTCTTCAAATAACCCTAATACATATAAGCCACATTTGATTTTTGACTTTGTTTGTTTCTCAACCTTGAATAGTTTTTATACTTGCCACTTGGGATCTAGTGTCAACTACATACATACTAACTTAAGTAGTTGACATTTTGCATAAGACCGAAGTGGCCTGTTATATATATATATATAGCCACTTTGGCTCACTTGATTAGTTGATGAGAGCCAAGTTAGCCTACAAAATATATTTGTCTAGCAAGTAATATGCATTTCTTAAACACCGATTTCAAGACATTTAATGTAAAACTTTTAGTATTAGTTGAATTATATAATATTATTGTAGGTCAATCTAGTCTACAAACTCATTTATAGTTGAAGAAATGCTAAATAGGCCTAATAAAAGTCCGCTCATCATGCAACTAGCGCTCTTGAAAACCGGGGATTCACCACTTTATGGAGCAATTTGGTGGGTTTATAAATAAGATGTAACGACATGGTCCCCACCCAAAAAATGGTTTCATTGACAAATTCATACCCACCATTTTTTAAATACCATTTTACTACCCATGAGTAAGAAATCCGCTAACCGTTCTTCATTGTGATAAGGGTAGTATGGTCATAAGTCATTTGTAAGTAAAGGTAAAATGATCCATTGACATGTTGCACAGAAAACAAAATTTAAAATGCAATATGGGGAATCATAGGGCTGAAGTAAGTACACGTGTCCAGGAAGTTGACCTAAGGAAAAAAGAAAGCAGAAGTCATTTTACTTTGGCGAATCTTGGAGGAGTCGATGTTGGGTTTTCGTTTACAAAGGTCGACTGTTTCTTGCGATTTTATAGCTATTGGTGATTCTTAAGCGATTACACTAACTGGTTGGATTGGTTGTTTGGCGATTTTTGTGTTTAGGATTCATTCATGGTATTGATGATTAGTGTTGTTATGAGGAGTTTTTCGGCGAACGAACAAGTTTGATAGGCACTTCGAGTGACGATTTGACTCGAGACTTCTGAGTTGCTTCTTCGTTGAACAATCAACAAAGTTGCCATCGTTGAGACTTTCTGAGGTTGTGTTATTCTTCGGTTTTGGGAATATTCTTTTTCAGTTTTTACGTTTTATGGTAAGGCATGCAACAAAGTTGCCATGTTTTGGAAGAATTAAAGACAAAGAATTGTTGTTTTTACGATATGAAATGCAAAAAATTTATTATTATTTCTTTTAAATAATGGATTTCACATGAAGTTTCTTATTTTATTTGTTTTGTTATTGATTTGGTTGTGGGTCCATATTAGTAATAGTTACAAAGTCTCCCATAGTTTGTTATTTTTTCTGCGGTGGGTTAGAAAACTAGTTGGAAGAGACAAGAACGTCATGAGTGGAATGCTTCACATCCTAATATATGGGTATCTATGCCTTGATTGTTGTGTGTTGTTGTACCCTTTTTAAGCATTTGCTAAACTTTTCTGCTGAATGCCATAAATTTAGGATTGAATTCATGGTGTTCGAATGTCTGTTACCTGAGGTTGGATTGTTGTTTGTTGACATCTACCTACCTAGTTTAGTCTATGGTTCATTTTTACATTTTCATAAATCGCATGTTTGACTGTTGGGTTTTTTTTTTTTTTTTTTTTTTTTTTTTTTTTTTTTTTGTTTTTGCTTTTTTTCACTAATTGCAATGCATAAGTTTTGATCACTGTGTTGTCTTATGCTTAATAGATGTTTTAAACTGTGTGTCAGTATAAATTTTGGACCCAACAACATGTAAGTCTAACGTAAGCTGATTTAAACTGTAATACAACTGAAAATACGATGTAAATTTGTTTGAATTGTGTAAAATCTGCTAAAATAACTAATATTGTTTCCCTTTTTGATGTTATATAGGAACATCCGTAGCAACTATGACTACAATCCCTTGTTAAAACCCAGCCTAAATCATCTACTCATCAACAACATCTAAACACACAATCAATCACAAAACAAACCCCAAGCAAGAATTTTACAGTGGTTCAACTCCTTTAAGGATAGCTACATCCACGTTGAGTCTCACAATTGAGGGGCTCTCTACTAATATCCTTTGTTCATTTACACATACAACACTCAACTCTCTCTAAGATTCACAACACTCTCACCACTCCTTGATACACAACTGTAACTATCACAAGGAAATCCTCAACTTGCACTTCCTACCCGAGAGTAAACAAACCCCTAATATGTGATCACTTGATCACAATAGAACAATAACAAAAAATTTCAGACGCAAGAACAAAAAACCTAAGCAAAAAATTTGCACAAAATGAGAGAGAGAAAATTCTATCTTTTTAGTTGCACTGAGAGAGGGTGCTTTTATATGGTGTGCGTGCACTAGAGCCTTTGATCATCTCTTAAATCAAAGTCATAAGGTGCAGCAAAAACGGACGCGTTTGACTTCACCTTTACAATCTCCACCTTGAAGTCAGTCTTCAGCAGTAACACATCACCCATTCAGTGCAGAAACCTTCCTACAAGCTTCTTGCTCTACCAACCCTTTCATCCATGTGTAGCAAATTCAAGATGTTTGAATTTTGCTACATAACCACTTGTGTTCCATGTCGAGGTTGTTTTCAGTTGAAATCTTCCTCAATTCTATCATGCCCTTTGCAATTAAGTCTCTAATGAAATGGAACCTAACATCAACATGTTTGGTTCTCTGATGTATACGATTTTTGCTTAAGTGTATGCATTTGACTATCTGAATAAATGACTGCCAACTGTCCAGTAGACTTCCCTCCTTCAAATCCCTTGCAGCCATAAACTTCCTTGCACATCTTCAAGCCAATATTCCTCTGTTGACAAAGCTACAATGGTTGAGTTGTGACTTCCAACGACACAATACCTCCCAAGTATAAAAGTAAGAGTTTAGACTTCTTGTGTCCCTATCCGCAAAATCAGAATCTACAAAGCCAATAGATCAAGAGAGTTTTTTTACAATAATCAATCCCACATGCAAAGAGCCATTAATATATCTAAGACCATTTCATTGCATTCCAATGTTCCATTCCAGGATTAGCATAAAACAATATAATGAAATAGCAAAAGAAAATCTGGTCTGTCTTATCTTTTTTGTCTGAGATTCAAAACGGAATATAAAATATTACCAAATGTTTTTTAGAAACAATTTGAACGCAAAACAAATTTTGACCCTTGTTTTAGACTCTTCAAAAAACTGTTTCTAAAACCACTTAAATTAAACTGTTTTTTTTTTTTTTTTATAAACAATAATAATAAAACAACTTGAAATTCGGCAAACAAAAATAAATTATTTAATGTCAGTTACGTAAATGAGAAAGCATTTGCTTGGCTGATTGTGATTTGGTTGGGAATCGCTTTGGCCGCGGTCCAATGTTCTGTTGTAAATGTTGGTTCTCAAAATGGTGGTATTAACAGACGCCACAAGGCACATGTAAACCCAGGGATATTTATGTTGTCTTCAGGATCAGTTGTCAGGAGGTATTTTTATTATTTTCGGTTTGATAAAACTAATTTATTTTACATTAATATTTATATAACTTCTTATAATCTCAAAGATGATATACAATATATGGTGGGTTTTTATTTTATAATACAAATATCCTACCTAAGACAATATATATAGATTAAATATAGAAATTATAGTTACTTTCACACTCCTTTCCTTTTTTCTTTAATAATAATATAAAAAAAGTTTTCCGAGATGTTCTTATATCACCTAAAGTAATCTTACCGACTTTCTAAATTTTATATCCTTTTCTCTTTCTCTTTTTCTTTTTCCTTTTTATTTTGGAAGTTTCATGGATGAGCCAAAACATGCCGGCCTGTTTATTGCGTCGTCTTTATTTCATTTTTCTATATTTATGTCGCTCTTTTTTTTTTTTTTATTATTAGAGTAAACGACTTTTCCCCCACCCAAGGTTTGTCTTAATGACACTTTTTCATCCAAAAATTTATAAAATACTATTTTCTCATCCAAAATTAATATTCAGTTACTATCAAAAACCATTTTTAGCAGTGAAATTTCTCTCCGTCACCACCATTGAATCTCCAGTCTCCTCTCTACAAAATCTTTCTCACTCAGACACTTGATTTATCGCTGATTCCAACGATGAATATTTAATCGATCACCACCACCTTATCCATCGGTCTCCACTTTACAAAAACCCTCTTATCTTGACTCTTAGTAACTTGTCGAATGCTGACTGAGAAAATAAAATGTATTTTGGGTATTAACGGAATATAAATGTTGAGTGAGAAAATGGTATTTTGAAACATTTTTTGTGGGAAAGTGACATAATGGCAAACCTTAGGTGGGAAAAAGTGGGTGCGTTTGTTTTGTTTTTTTCAAAATACTCTATTCCTATCCTGAAAAAAATGCATGTTTGTTTCCCTATTCTCAAAATCATATCTTATAATATTCAACTTTTGAACCCCCATAGGTTTATTAATTTAACTAAACACCCCCAACAAAAAAGTTTTATAAATTGACAAAAACACTCCCACCCATTCACATTTATCAAATTCCGACAACCACTGCAAGGAAGTGGTCGGAATCTAGCGTAATGGCGTACTACCGGTTGGATCTGGTTGTAGTACACCGATCTGACTGGAAAATGCTAGATCCACGACCAAAGATCTGGCCATTGAAAACCAGATTTTTGGCCACATTTGGTAGTCAATGACGACTAATATATGGCCGTCGTTGACCATCAATGACAACCATATATTTGGCTGTCAACTAGATCTGGCTGTCAACAGCAAGATTCAACCGTAGATCTGGCCGAAAAAAGCCATAGCGGTGCACAACCAGCCAGATCTGGCCGGTCGTGTGCAATGAAACAAGATTCTGATGGTGGTGATATGAATCTAGCAACTGTGGGTGGGTGGAGGTTGCCGATCGTGTGTAATGAAACAAGATTCTGACGGTGGTGGCAGGAATCTAGCAATTGTAGGTGGGTGGAGGTATTTTATCAATTTATAAACTTTTTATTATTGGGAGTGTTTAACTAAATCTTACTTCGTAATAATAATTCAACTAAATTTAATAATAATATTTTAAAAATACTACTCAAAATAATAAAATAAACGCAACCGTGGTTTACTCTTATTATTATTCTTAAAAATAAAGTGGCCGACCCTGATTATGCCCAATTGACTTTACATATAGACTTTACAAATTAAAAACCAATTGGGTAGCACTTTTTCTGATGATTATGTGGTGAATTTAGGAGGCGTGTTAAAGTATTTTAAAGAAACTTCGTTTTCATACACGCTTTGTTTCCGATTAGACATTTGTTGATTTACTTGCAAGATATAATAAAGTACAACAAAAGTTTATCTTATAATCATAATTAATAAATTAAATATCTTTCTTTATTACTTTTTTGATATGATCTTACAGTCCAACGTAATATTCTTTTTAAAATAATAAGTTTGACTTTTCATTATTTTTCATGTTTTCATTTCCCCATTTTACAGTCCCATATTCATTATATTGTCAAATTTTAAAGGAGTCTTCTCAACCCTTGGGTTTAATCAAATAAAAAAGTCTTTATCAGAATTTAGAAATAACAGAAATTCCCCTATTGTGAGTGAGCCGTTAGTGTACGATTAGAATTTATAGTACGATGAGTTAATTAATATTTATCAAATTGCCTTTATTATATTTATGTGTATACTTTTAACTTTAAGGAGATTTTTGTTATTTCTATAACGATAAAGGAGATTTTTGTTATTTAATCGTTCTCCAGGTTATTATTTTATTAACCCAATTTTAAACGTAATTTTAGCTACAAACTGTGCTTATTGAGAGCTGAAATGTGGTATGGTGTGGTGCAGGTTAAAGATGAGAAAAAAATAGTTCTTACAAAGCCATTGATGTTTGAAGGAGAATCAAACGGTGATTACAAAGCTCCAAATATTCTACAACGCATTTTAAGTCTTTTTAAGAATATACGACCAGGAGCCGATCTCACGCGCTTCCAGGCAAGTTTTTAATATCTCCCAACTTTTTTGTTTAATTTTTAGGTCCCTCCAGTTTAGGCAACAGTTAAGTCTCTGTCTGAGCTAGGAATAGCAATTGGGTGGATTGGGATAGGTTAAAACCCAACCCAATTAATGAGTTAAACCCATATAAAATTTAACCACCTCACTTCATTATATAAAATTAAGATATAGATCGAGGTTAAAGGTGGAAGGCCCAATCCTTAACCTGAATAAACTGGGTTGGGTGGGAACCCGCCCAGACAAGTTTTGTTGCCTTCCCTAGTCTGAACCTAAATGTCTTAGTTTCTAATTTGTCTTAACTTTATTTATTGGTTTGGTTGGTGGATGGGTGGTATATATGCTCAGACTTAATTTTCTCAGTTTTGACAATAAGATGTATTATTGACTTTCGTAGACTTGCCTTTGAAAATTCAGCTGCCAGCAACCTTCAACGTTCCCAAATCACACCTTCAATGTTATGGCGAGTCAGTGTACTGCATTAATAAAGATCTGTTGACCATTTGCAACCAATGTGAGAGCCCACTGGAGAGATTCACATCCGTCGTCGCTTGGAGCATTTCCACCGCACGGCCTACCATTTTTGGCTCTGCTCCTTTCAATTCCGTTCTTGGAGAGACTCACCATGTTTCTAGTGGCAACCTCAATGTTCTATTAGAACAGGTATTTGCACTTCAATTTGCATATTAAATGTCGTGATCAATTTTATGTATGTATAATTGTTGTGCTTAGCGGGTTACACAGGTATCACATCATCCACCAGTATCTGCGCTCCATGCAACCAATGAGAAGGAAAATATTGAACTTATTTGGTGTCAACATCCTGTTGCCAAATTCTATGGTATTCTCTATTCTTATTTAATGGTATAATTAAAATATTATTAGAGTTTTAATTACGTAATTATTTGAAATTAAAAACTAATGTTGTAGGTACTTCAGTGGAAGCCGAGGTTCATGGCAAAAGGCAATTAAAGCTACATAAATACAAAGAAACTTACGAAATGAACTCACCAAAACTCTTGATTAGATTTCTTCCAGTGCCTGGAACTGAATGGGTTGGCAACGTTAGAATCAAATGCCATGAAAATGGCCTAGAAGCCGAGTTATGTTTCAGAGGCGGTTCTTTACTGGGGCGTAGAGGAAGAGCTATTAAAGGAAAAATCTTTGAATCGTTATCAATGCAGACTCTGTATGAGATCGATGGCCACTGGGACAGGTACCTAAATTTTGTATATTAAAATTTGCAAATATATAGTGTGAACAAATAATAGAGTTACGAACATTAACCCCCCAGAGGGTTGATGAAATAATAAATAATAAATATCCCCCTAAAATTTTGGAAATAGCATAAATTCATATGCTGTTAGGTTTTAAGTGTTAAAATAAACAGTAGAAGAGAAATTTGGTAATACTTATTAATTCATAACAATGTAAATTCTAACGGTTCATAGGTTATTATTTGAGAAACAATAGGGGTATATTTGTTATTATATCATACATCCGAGGTCTATTTTTAACTCTAAATAATATTTTGCTTTTATTAATCTCAAATTTCAAAATTACAGGGCTGTCTCAGTGAAAGATATGCAGAAAGGGAAACGTAGAGTAATCTTCGATGCAAAAGAAATTCTTTATGGGCTCAAAACTCCTATTGTTAAGGATTCTCAAGTATGTTATGAAATTTATATTTTGTAATATGTATGTTTAATTATGATAGATTTTAGTTAGATAATACATTTAATTAATTGGATATGCCTACTAATAAATAATAAATGTTATCACTTTCTTTTAAATTTTTTTTAACATGTCTTGATTGACCTACTTATATATGAGAGGGGGTTGGTGACCCAACTCAAGAATTTTTTTTTTTTTTTTTTAATTTGGTTTTATTTTTTATTTTAATTAGATTGCATTTGTATTAATATTTCTAGATTTGATCCCATTCATCAACTCTTCCCATGTTTTAAATTATTTTATTTTGAATTTGCCCTCCTTAAGGTTAAAATCTAAGTCCGTCCCTAAATGCATGATGAGACTAAATTAGACAGATTGGGTTGAACGTTATTCCATTAATTGTCACCAATTATTTAATGTATGAATATCAAAATTGAATGTACAAAAATACTTCTTCCGTGAATATATATGCATGCATGAACTTCTTCATATCATGTATAAATTTAAATATAGTTCGTAGGTACTTTAATATATATGGGTTTGATTTTCTTCAGGCAGTGTGGCCAAGCGAATCAGCGGCGGTATGGGCTGAGGTGAGCCAAGGCATATTGAATCAAGAGTGGGAGAAAGCTAGAGATGCAAAGAAAAGTGTTGAGGAGGAGCAAAGGAAGCTGTTGAGAGAAAGAGAGTCAGCAGGAGAAACTTGGGTTCCCAAGCATTTTAATCTGACGCAAAGCAAAGAAAGAGGTTGGGACTGCTCACCTATTCAGGAAAGAGTACCACCAGCTCCAATTGTTGTCCCTCTTTGAATTTGATATAGAATTTTAATGTAATTATTTGTTTCTTAGAGTAAAGGATGCAAGAATTCTATGAAACCCCAAATTAAACACAATTAATTGTCACCACCATTAAAGTTAGTAAGTTACCAAAAAGAGGGAAAAAAACAACCAAAAAAAAAAAAAATTAACAAAAATGCAAGAGAAGATTGGTTTATTTCCTTTCTAAGAACCCGACTTATAGACTGTGGGTCAACTCAGCCTTCACCACTCACATCCAACCCAACCACCAAAAAACCACTTAAGCAAGAAAACAAAAATTAATTTGGTTAATAACTGAAGAGAAATTTAGGAGGATTTGTTAAACTAAGAGACATAACACGCCAACATGACAAAAATTTGATTTGTTTAAGCGGGTTAGCATTAACTCTAATCGTATTCGTCTCATATTCAACCCGTTTGTTAATTGTGACATATTTAAGTTGACGGTTCTCAACCCACGAACCTGTTTAATGACACAATTAATAAAACGGATTACCTCAACCCACAAACGTATTTATGACTCGTGAACCAATTTATGACATGATTATATGTTTATGACACAATTAATTTGTTTTAAAAAAAATCAAAAATCAAAAATAATAATAATAATAATAAAAGGTATGACACAACTGAAATTTTAAGAACAAAAACAAATAAAAAAAACATATTTTGTTAATTAAAATCAAACATATTAAGATAAACCGAAAAAAAGAATATACATGATACTGTAATTAAACTGGTAATTAGGGACGGAGGGAGGGGGTCAAGGAGGGCCAGCTGACCCTCCTTAAGTTTTGAAAATTTTTAATTAGTTTTACAAATTTGCCCCTAAATGAAAAATAAATTACAAAAGAACTCCAATCCAATAATCCATCAAATAAGTTAAACTCTCATTTTTCTTGTTGGGTTGTCAAAACTAAACCCCTCTTTCTCTAATTTCCAGACTGGTTTTTCTCTATCGCCCATAACTGATTCAACAATTTAGATTTCAAATTTTTTCCTAAATTTCTAAGTCTTTATCTACACAAATGCCGTTTTCTCCCAACTATCAAGCAGACAAGCCCTTTTTTTTCTTCAATTTGTCAAGTAATACTAATACATTTTATATTTGCATTCTTTTATTTTGAAAGTTTAAGGTTAAATTATTGATATTGGGACCACAAATTGTACCCATTTTTTGATAATGTCTTAGATATGCAGCTTCAAGAGTTGAATAATCGTTTTAATGAGGTAAGCATTTAATTGGTTGGTTGTTTGATATTTTTATGTCCAAATGAATCATTTATTGCTTTTGATAAACAAAAATTGATGCGCCTTGCCGAACTTTATCCAGAAGATTTTTCTGACTGAGAACTCATGACATTTGATTCTCAACTTAATGTTTACATTTTGGATATGCACTCTAATGTCAAATTTATGGGATTAAAGGGATTAAAGATCTTGCAAAAATGATGGTTGAAACTAAGAAGGATAGAGTATTTCCATTAGTTTATTTGTTGATGAAATGTAACCCTTAATGATGTGGCAATGGCTTACTTGAGGGACAGATTGGTGGATAGGAATACTTTAATTCTAAATGGTAAGCATTTTCATATTAGATGCACAACTCATATTTTGAATTTGATTATGAAGGGTGGTCTTAGTGAGATTAAGGATTGTGCTAGCCGAATTCTTATTTCAGTTAAGTCTATGAGGAGTTCTCCCAATAAAGCCCAAGCATTTGAAAGATGTGTCAAAGAAGAAAGGGTAGCTTGTAAATGTACGGTGTGTCTTGATATTGCTACTCGATGGAACTCGACTTACCTCATGTTAGATTCAGAAATAAAATTCAGAAAAGTTTTTAAAAGGTTGGAAGATGAGGATCCCAACTACAATATTGATTTTTCACATGATACTCTTTTAGATGAAGATTGGGAAAAAGCAATTGTGTTTGTCAAATTCCTAAGGAATTTTTATAAAGCTACAAATAGGATGTCGGGGTCCAACTATGTGACTTATAACAATTATTTTCATGAGATTGTAGGCATTGTCATTTCTTTAAATGAATGGGAGAAATACTCTAATCCTTCTCTTCACACAATGTCAAAGAGAATGAGGGAGAAACTTAACAAGTATTTTAGGAGTCTTGACAAAGTTAACATGATGATGTTGATTGCAGTAGTATTAGATCCTAGAAATAAAATGAAATATGTGAGCTGGTGCTACAAAAGATATATGTTGATGACTTAGAAAAGACTAAAAGGGTGTTCAGAATCGTGAGACACGTGTTACAACAACTGTATAAATTTTATGATGGACTTCCATCAAATTTAGATGAAAGACAAGCTTCCAATTCCTGTCCACCAATTGGAAATGATCAGCCTTTATGTGTTGATGGTAGTAGTGAGTGTGATGATATTGCCTCCGACCCTCTGAGGGAGGCATATGTGGAAGAGATGGAGGTAGAGGTACATGATGTTGCCAAGTCAGAGTTAGATCGGTACCTTGATGATAAATGTGAATCTGTGAGGTCTGATTTGAATGTATTGAAATCGTTTAAAATAAATGCATCAAAGTATACAATTCTCTTGCATGTGGCCAAATATATCTTTGCAATCTTGGTGTCCATAGTTGCGTCCGAGTTAGCTTTTAGTCCATCGGGTCGTGTACTTTATCAATTTTGGAGTTCTTTATCTCCGCCGGTTGTTGAAGTGTTGATTTGTACACATGAATGGTTGAGATCTACACCAATTCTGGCTGAAGATGACTTGGAGGATGCAGCGGCTTATGATACCGGTATAATATCTATTGGTTTTATTCTTATTCCTTTAATTTATTGGTAAATAATTTTATTCAATGTTTTTACTTTTTAAGCTACTAATTGAATTTCTTGTGTTTATTTTGTAGAAATGATTGGACTTCATTTACTTGATGAAGGAACATCCACGACTAATTTGGAGAATTAGACATGATGTTTAAATGTTTTATTGATTGTATTTTTGAATTGTTGTGTTTCTTGTGTTTATTTTTTTGTTATGTTATTTGGCATGATGAATGTTATTTATAATTTTAAGTTTGGGAACAGTAGTTGGCCAATTGTAGCAAATGTGATTTTTTAAAACTAATTGTAGAGTGTATGTGTGAATTATGTGAACTGCCAGCGGTGTATTTGTAAATTTTTTAGGGTGTATGTATTTGTTATTTTTTAAATTAACAGTGGAGTAATTGAAATTTTACAGGGTACCTAGGAAAGGAACTAGCCAGTTTTGGTTACTAGAAATTCCAAAGGGTACTCGGAACCACTTACCCCTAATCTATATAGTGGCAAACATATGAGGGTTTTCTAAAATATCCCCCAACAACATTTTATTTCTCTTGTTGCCAATTTTTTTGGAAAAATGTTCAAATAGGGGCAAAAATAAGTTTTTTGAATGTTGAAATTGAATAAGAAGTCTATGTTGGACAATCTAAATGATATATGAGAAAGATGTAAGAAAATAAGGTCTTTGAAAGAAAGACTTTGTTTGGCCTAAAACAAGTACCCTTACCTTGGTACAGTTGCATCGACTATCATTTATTGACCATTGATTTCTCAACGCCCATAAGACAACACTTTATAAGTTAAGGCCCAATCTAGGGTTGTTATAACTTAAGATATATTTGATTATTTATTAAGCTAGCAACTAAAAAGAGTTTGGTAAACCCCTTTAAAAATTGATAATCTCTAACGTTAGTAATAAATAATCCATTTAGTTAAGCATTTAAAAAATAGGCTATAGTAGCTATTAAGATTAGAAATTTCTTACTTAAGTTTGAATTACCAAAACACCAAAAAATTTATATAAATTAGAAAACAATTATACATGTTGATGCCAAATTTTGCACCAAACTAGAGTTGACTGTCTTGCCTTTTGGACCACGATGACTTTCCTGTTATACCTTTGTGGTTGACAGTAGTGCCGATCTCTCCCCTTGAAAGAAAACAGCAAAGGCTCTTGCAAAACTATAGGGTAAGAACGAGGGCTGGAGGCTAAATATGGTGGCGGTCAACTTCAACTCAGAATGCTCAAGTTCAAGTCTTTTCCGTATGAATATTAAGTTATCATTCTATGCCTATTAGCCCCATTTATATAGTGAAATAAAATAATGTTTGAGAGAGTTTACTTGTTGATGTAGGACTTATGATTGAGGAATGATTATTGGAGTTTTAGGAGAGGAGTAACACTAGCCTTACAAAGAGGCATACAAAGAGTCATACAAAGAGACAATCCCTACCCTTAAAATTCATGATTGTCTCTCTCTCTCTCTTTTTCCCTTCTTTTAAGGGTAGAGATTGTCTCTTTGTATGCATCTTTGTAAGACTAGTGTTACTCGAGAGGAGAGTATAGGATTCTCTCCTTAGTTTAACTCACTTTCCTTTTCTCCATAGATTCCTCCATTAAGTATGATTCTATTTCCTATTTTGTGGATTATCCCTAAAATATTTTACTTTATGCGCAAGTAATATCAAATAAGAATTTATAATTTTGCCCTTTGGAGAATTCGGGCACAACAATATATAATTATTGAACTAAATTAAAGATTTAAAAGTTTTTTTCTTATAATAAATTTATTTAAATAGCTTAACTAAAGGAAAACATCAATTTTGGTCATTTTCTGTAACATATATAATTTTTTAAAATCACAACAATATAAAAATTAATCTATAACAAGTACCATATAACTATTTTTCTAAATTTGATTATTTGCACAATAGAATCACCATAAAATATAGTAATTATAACAATTTTTAAACTAGTTCCAAATCTAATTTATAGGTTGATTAATCTCCCATGGTAGCTTTGTTACGGGATTTTCCTAGTTTAGTTTGTAATTCTCTATTCTTTATAAAATTACTAGTAACAGAAAAAAATTTATAGGTTGATTAATACCTATGAGTTTATTTTATTTTATGTGAAGAAGGAAGACAACAAGGGAGAAGAGGGGTAGGTGTCTTACCTGGATTTTTTTATTTTTAAAATTTGACAATTATTATTAAATTAGCCCTTATTTAAAAAAATGTTAAAACGCTCACACGAGTTATTGACTTTGTTTGTCTTCAAATAACCCTAATACATATAAGCCCACATGTGCGTTTTTGACTTTGTTGTTTTTTTTTAACTTGAATAGTTGTATATTTAGCCACTTGGATCAAGTGTCAACTACATACATACTAACTTAAGTAGTTGACATTTTGCATAAGACCGAAGTGGCCTTTATATATATATATATAGCCACTTTGGCTCAACTTGATTAGTTCTATGAGAGCCAAGTAGCCTACAAAATATATTTGTCTAGCAAGTATATGCATTTCTTAAACACCGATTTCAAGACATTTAATGTAAAACTTTTAGTATTAGTTGAATTATATAATATTATTGTAGGTCAATCCTAGTCTACAAACTCATTTATAGTTGAAGAAATGCTAAATAGGCCTAATAAAAGTCCGCTCATCATGCAACTAGCGCTTCTTGAAAACCGGTGGATTCACCACTTTATGGAGCAATTTGGTGGGTTATAAAATAAGAGTTAACGACATGGTCCCACCCAAAAAATGGTTCATTGACAAATTCATACCCACCTATTTTTTAAATACCATTTTACTACCCATAGTAGAAATCCGCTAACCGTTTTCATTGTGATAAAGGGTAGTATGGTCATAAGTCATTTGTAAGTAAAGGTAAAATGATCAATTGACATTTTGCACAGAAAATCAAAATTTAAAATTGCAATATGGGGAATCATAGGGCTGAAGTAATAACACGTGTCCAAGGAAGTTGACCTAAGGAAAAAAGAAAAGCAGAAGTCATTTTACTTTGGCGAATCTTGGAGGAGTCGATGTTGGGTTTTCGTTTAACAAAGGTCGACTGTTTTCTTGCGATTTTATAGCTATTGGTGATTCTTAACAGCGATTTACACTAACTGGTTGGATTGGTTGTTGGCGATTGTTGTGTTTAGGATTCATTCATGGTATTGATGATTAGTGTTGTTATTGAGGAGTTTTTCGGCGAACGACAAGTTTGATAGGCTACTTCGAGTGACGGTTGACTCGAGACTTCTGAGTTGCTTCTTCGTTGAGACATGCAACAAAGTTGCCATCGTTGAGACTTTCTGAGGTTGGTGTTATTCTTCGGTTTTGGGAATATCATTTGTTCAGTTTTTACGTTTTTATGGTAAGGCATGCAACAAAGTTGCCATGTTTTGGGAAGAATTAAAGACAAAGAATTGTTGGTTTTTACGATATGAAATGGCAAAAAATTATTATTATTTCTTTTAAAATAATGGATTTCACATGAAGTTTTCTTATTTTATTTGTTTTTGTTATTGATTTTGGTTGTGGGTCCATATTAGTAATAGTTACAAATGTCTCCTATAGTTTGTTATTTTTTCCTGCAGGTGGGTTAGAAAACATAGTTGGAAGAGACAAGAATCGTCATGAGTGGAATTGCTTCACATCCTAATAATATGGGTATCTCATGCCTTGATTGTTGTTGTGTTGTTGTACCCCTTTTTAAGCATTTGTAAACTTTTTGCATGAATGCATAAATTTAGGGATTGAATTCATGGTTTGAATGTTCTGTTACATGAGGTTGGATTGTTGTTTGTTGACATTCTAACTACCTAGTTTAGCTATGGTTCATATTTTACATTTCATTAAAAATCGCATGTTTGAACTGTTGGGTTTTTTTTTTTTTTTTTTTTTTGTTTTGTTTTTTTTTGCTTTTTCACTAATTACAATGCATAAGTTTTGATCACTGTGTTGTCTTATGCTTTAATAGATGTTTTAAACTGTGTGTCAGTATAAATTTTGGACCCAACAACAGTGTAAAGTCTAACGTTAAAGCTATTCTAAACTATGTAAATTACAACTGCTAAAATAACGATGTAAATTTGTTTGAATTGTGTAAAATCTGCTAAAATAACTAATATTGTTTCCCTTTTTTGATGTTATATAGAACATCCGTAGCAACTATGACTACATCATCCTTGTTAAAACCCAGCCTAAATCAATCTACTCATCAACAACAATCAAACACACAATCAATCACAAAACAAACCACAAAGCAAGAATTTTACCATGGTTCAACTATCCTTTAAGGGATAGCCTACATCCACGTTGAGTTCCACAATTGAGGGGCTCTCTACACTAAACTTATCCTTTGTTCAATTTACACAAACAACATTCAACTGCTCTCTATAGATTTCACAACACTCTCACCACTCTCTTGATACACAACTGTAAACTAATCACAAGGAAATACTCAACTTGTCACTTCCTCACCCGAAAGTAAACAAAACCCCTAATATGTGATCACTTGATCACAACTTAGAATACAGTAATCACAAAGAATTTTAGACGCAAGAACAAAGAACCCTTATAGCAAAGAAATCACAAAAAATGAGAGAGAGTAAAAATTCTATACTTTAGTTGAGTTGTCACGTGAGGGATGGGTCTTTTTATATGGCTGGGCAGGTGTCACATTGAGAGCCATTTGATCATTCTTTAAATCAAAGGTCACTAAAGGTGCAAGCAAAACGGCAGCGTTCTGACTTCACCTTTAACAATCTCCACCTTGAAGTCAGTCTTCAGCAGTAACACATCAACCCATTCCAGTGCAGAGAACCTTCCTACAATTGCTTCTTAGCTCTACCAACCCTTTCATCCAATGTGTAGCAAATTCAAGCAATGCTTGAATTTTGCTACAGTAACCACTTTTGTTCCCATGTCTGTAGGGTTGTTTTCAGTTGAAATCTTCCTCAATTCTATCATGCCCTTTGCAATTAAGTCTCTAATGAAATGGAACCTAGCATCAACATGTTTGGTTCTCTCATGATATACCGGATTTTTGCTTAAGTGTATCGCACTTTGACTATCTGAATAAATGACTGCCATATTGTCCAGTAGACTTCCCTCCTTCAAAATTCCTTGCAGCCATAAAGCTTCCTTGAACACATCTATCATAGCCACATATTCTACCTCCATGGTTGACAAAGCTACCAATGGTTGTAGTTGTGACTTCCAACTGACACAATTACCTCCCAAGGTAAAACAGTAGGAAGTTGTAGGCTTCCTTGTGTCCCTATCCCCTGCAAAATCAGAATCTACAAAGCCAAGTAGATCAAGTAGAGTTTCTTTTACAATAATTCAATCCCACATGCAAAGAGCCATTAATATATCTAAGCAACCATTTCATTGCATTCCAATGTTCCATTCCAGGGTTAGCCATAAAACAACTGAGTAATGAAATAGCAAAAGAAAGATCTGGTCTTGTGCTTATCATAGCATACATTATAGACCCTATTGTGTTAGAGTAAGGCTCATTTTCTATTTTAATTAACTTAGAGTTAGATTTGGGACGTTGTAACTTGCTAAGGGTGAAGTGACTTGCTAGTGGCATGTTCACAGGTTTACAATTTGACATTCCAAATTTCAGGACTAGTTTTTGTAGGTAAGAACACTACTGGATCCTTAATTCATTGTTTTTTCTATTCATTTCAATAACCATCCTTAGGATCTTCCTAGCACACCCTAAATCTTTCATAACAAATTTTGAATTTAGTTTTGATTTCAACTCAATTATCTTTGATGCAGATTTACTTATTAAAAGCATATCATCTACATAGAGCAGCAGGTATATAGGCATTTTATCAATAGAGGCAAAATAAGAACAACTATCGTATTTGCTCCTAGAGAACCAAATACTCAACACAAAGGAGCCAAACCTCTTGTACGACGGCCTAGCTGATTGTTTGAGGCCAAACAATGACTTATGCAACATACAAACATGATTGGGTAGTTGTTTATCTATGAAACCAATGGGTTGTCTCATAAATATTTTTTCTACTAACTCACCATGTAAAAATGCAGTTTTCACATCTAGTTGTTCTAATTCTACATCTTGGTGAGCTACTATGAATAACATTATCCTAATGGTTTTAAACTTAACCACGAGTGAAAAAATCTCATTGAAATTTACCCCTTCACTTTGTGTATACCCCTAGCAACTAAACAAGCCTTATATTTTAAGGGTTCAGAGGGAGTCATACCTTCTTTCACTTTGAAGAGCCATTTGCACTCTACTAATTTTTGATCTTTGGGTTTGGGGACCAAAGACCATGTGTCATTCACCTTTAAGGATTCCATTTCCTCATTCATTGCTGCCAGCCACTTTTCTTTCTCTTTGGACCTCATTACCTCTTCATAAGTCTCTGGTTCTATCCTATGTACTTCTATACCTGCAAGAAGAGCAGTGTAAATTAAATCTGCATAAGAGTACCTAGCAGGTGGCCTTAACTCTCTCTTGGTCTTGTCCCTTGCTAACTGATATTGGGACAGGTCTCCTGTTTGGGGTTCTTCAGCCTCTCCTTCTTCTTCTTCAACTGCTTGATCAGGTTGAACAGGTTGGACAGGTTGGGTAGTGGCTTGATCAGGTTCTTCATCAGGGTGAAGCAGCTCAAGGTAATGTCCTGATGACTCCACCTCAATATGTGTAGTCTCTAGTTGAGTGGGATGCTGATTGATATTGTTCATTGTACATGCATCAGTATTAGTGGATCTACAAGGAAATACCATTTCATTGAACACCACATCCTTGCTCACAATTACTTTTACCCCTAGGGATTCTCTATCCCACAACCTATAGCGCTTTGTCTCCTCTTGGTATCCTAGGAAGACACACCTAATTGATCTAGGTTCTAACTTCCCTTCAACTGTGTGTGCATATGCTGCACACCCAAATATTCTTAAGTGATCCAAGTTTGGCTTCCTTCCTGACCATTTCTCCTTAAGACACATGAACTCTATGGCACTAGAAAGGCTTCTGTTTACTAGTTAAGCTGCTGTGGCTAAAGCTTCTCCCCAAAAAATGTTTTTAGTAACCCTGAAGTGAACAAAAGGTACCTCACCTTCTCTAGTAAAGTTCTATTCATCCTCTCAACAACTCCATTTTGCTGAGGGGTTTTTCTTACAGTTCTATGCCTCAAAATACCCTGATCAGTGCAGAATTTATCAAACTCAGTGTTATAGAATTCCAGGCCATTGTCAATCCTAAGGGCTTTGACCTTCCTATCTGTTTGGTTTTCTACTAACAATTTCTAGCTTTTGAACTTAACTACGGCCTCATCCTTGGTTCTAAGTAGATAAACCCAAACCTTTCTATTATAATCATCTACAATTGGAAGAAAATAGCTATTTCCCCCCATGTGATATGACCTTTTTAGGTCCCCACAGATCAGCGTGTAGATATTCTAAGCAGTTGGTAGCTAGGTGAGTTCCTTTGGTGAAGTTCACCTTATGTTGTTTACCTAGAACATAGTTTTCACAAAAGTCAAGGTTGGTTATGTTATCTTTACCAAACATCCCTTGTTGCCAGAGGATGTTCATTCCCTTTTGGCTCATGTGGCCTATCCTTAGATGCCACTTTTCAGTTACATTAGGTTTTATAGAGACAAGTGTAATGTTAGGGTTCTCAGTGCAGTGTTGTTCACATAGTATATATAGACCATTCCTCTTTATACCCTTTAAGACTATACTGTTATTTCTATAAACATTCAAACAACCATTTTTAGCCCTATAACAGCAGCAAGATTCATCTATGGTACCTAGGGAGATTAGGTTTTGTTTGAGTTTAGGGATGTACCTAACCCTAGTTAGCATTACCAACCTACCATCGTTCAATTTTAGGGTTATGCGGCCCACCCCTTGAACTTTACATGCATTATTATTCCCCATATCTATTGTTTCATATTCACCAATTTCAAAATTTTGGAACCACTCTTTATTAGGGCTCATATGGAATGAACATCTTGAGTCTAGAACCCACTCATGAACCTGATCAGTTTTGGATACAGTGAGAACTTCAGTTTCCTTTATACTGCCACTATTAGAAGCTAGGTTACTTTTAGTGTTAACTTGCTTCTGTTTTCTAATCCAATCATAACAGTTCTTCTTTAGGTGTCCTGGCTTGTTATAGTGAAAACACTTCTTAGTTTTAGACTTGTTCTTATTAAAACCCTTCCCTTTCTTTCTATTCTTAGCATTAGTAACTTTCTGAGCACTACTTCGTGGCTGACCTGAATCTGATCTACCCTTCACAAACAGATTACTCCCATTACGTTTCTAGACTTTCAGTTCTAACTCCCTAGCCTTTAACTCAGCAATGATTAAATCAAGACTGGGAACAGTTCCACTATATTGCAGGGCATTTTTAACTACCTGATAATCCTCAGTCAAAGAATTAAGCAAAATCATGGCCAGACTAGTATCTCCTAGTTCTTGGTCAGTTCCTTTCAATATTATGGTCATTTTTTAAAATTCATTCAGGTTATCCTCTATTGACTTAGAACTTTCTATTTGATATGCAAATAAAGCACCCTTTAAGAAAGCTAAGTTTGGTGCAGACTGTAAAGCATAGAGAGATTCGAGTTTACACCACAACGTCAATGGCGTGTCCATACCATCTACCTTTCTGAGAACGTTGTCTGACAGATTCATCACAATGAGGTTGTGTGCTTCCTCGTCAATCTCTGCCTTATTCTTTAGTTTCTCCTTCGACCATTTCGTTGCATCCTTCTGCAACCTTATTATGTGAGAGCAAGGCCTTCATTTTCTTCTTCCAACTGTTGAAGTCTATTTTCCCATCATATTGGGTAATCTCCACGCGTGTAGTAGACATGGAGAAAATTTGTTTGGTACTGGTTTCGAAAGATTTCAAGAAACCTTAGTGTTCTACCCAAGATTGTTTGGTATTCTAATAATTGACTACCCGGCTAGGAAACTTAATTGATCTAGAGTACCAAAAACTGTAACAGATCAAGAAAGCCCCAAATTTGACAAACTCTAAGAATTCAAGAACCACTTTAATTGCTAATCCCTAGAGGTCGAAAACACCCTAGATTGTTAGGAAGCGATGGATCAAGAGCTCTTTAACAATTGCCAAGCTTCAAACGATAGAAATCTTTCAAGAGGGTGAAATCCTAGACTTCCAAGATTCGACAAAATCAGCTATTTAGCTCTGATACCACTATTAAAACCCAGCCTAAATCAATCTACTCATCAACAACAATCTAAACACACAATCAATCATAAAACAAACCACAAAGCAAGAATTTTACCGTGGTTTAACTATCCTCTAAGAGATAGCCTACATCCACATTGAGCTCCACAATTGAGGGGCTCTCTGCACTAAATTTATCCTTTGTTCAGTTTGCACAAACAACATTCAACTCCTTTCTATAGATTTCACAACACTCTCACCACTCTCTTAATACACAACTGTAGACTAATCACAAGGAAATACTCAACCTGGCACTTCCTCACTTGAGAGTAAACAAAACCCCCAATATGTGATCATTGATCACAACTCAGAATACAACAATCAAGAAGAATTTTAGACGCAAGAACAAAGAACCCTTACAAAGAAGATATCGCAAAAAATGAGAGAGAGTAAAAATTCTATGCTTTAGTTGAGTTGTCATGTGAGGGAGGGGTCTTTTTATATGGTTGGGCAGGTGTCATATTAAGAGCCATTGGATCATTCTTTAAATCAAAGGTCACTAAAGGTGCAAGCAAAACGGCAGCGTTCTGACTTCACCTTTAACAATCCTCAAGGGCTAGGTTTGCATCTTCTTCAACTCAAAACAATGCTTCACAATCTCACCATATAGGTGACAACAAGATTTAAACATTCTACTTTGTCTAAATTAATTTTTAAACAGTCATGACTCTATAAGTTTCAAACATTCTACTTTGTCTAAATTAAGTTATAATTTAATCTGCAGGTTCACAACCTTTTTAAGTAATGTGAGTTTGAACTTGCAAATGCATCGTAAGAGAAGGTAATTTTTGCAAAGGCAACTATGTGTGTTGAGGTTTATTTAGATTATATTTCCTCTCTTTCTAGTTTTGGTCATAGCCTCTTTGGAAATTGTTGCAATGTTTTGGTCAAATATTGATTACTTATTCTTGTGGCTGCACCCTAAACTGTTTTTTTTTTCCTTCTTTATTATCACTGTCACAAGTTGTTTGTGGAACTTGTTGCTCTGCTTTAGTCTTATGTTGATTATTTCTTATTGTGGCTACACCCTAAATTGGTTTTTTTTTTTTTTTCTCCTTTGTCATTGTCACAGGTTTTTGTGGAAATTCTAAATAGCAGTATAACCATCTTTGCCACCAATGATAAATCTTCAACTGATCACATTTTGCTCATTTCTTATGCTGTACACTAGAGAATGAATTTGTTTTGATAATACTGAATCAAGATTGTTATGTTTACAACATAAGTTATTTTTACCCGAACTTTCTATTCTTTTCTTTTAAAAACATCTATGCTTTTATTGTTATTATTGCACGTTAGCAGGTTGAAGAGGTCTGATGAAAACATTTCCAAATTTTATTGGGTTTAGGGTGACTAAAATGCATTGTGATTTTGCAATCTTAATTGACAAAGAGTAAATGTAGTACTAATATCAACTCAATACACACCACATACATGGACAAAATAGTAATTTCATTTGTGTTAATTTTTTATAATCTGACAGTTACCCATTTGCTAAAAAAATTGGGACAAATTAGTAATTCAATTATTTTTAAAAGATTGGGGTATCTCGGTGATTTTATTATTAAAATAGGGGTACATATGTATTTCATTCACATATACTAATAATAAAAAAAATTTCAATCAAACAATCAAGGGTATTATGGTCTTCCCAATGAACATATATGTTTTTACTTTTTAACAGAAACTGTTAACATAATTTTTGCTGTGGGTAGTAAAATGGTAATTAAAATGTGGGTGGGTATGAATTTGTCGATGGCCATTTTTTGGGTGGGAACATGTCGTTAACTCTATAAAATAATGTAGAGAGTAAAAAAGTATTCGATTAGGCTTACTAGGGTCAGAACGCATCTCCGAGTTCGAGCCATTCGGGGGCATTTTAATGGGGTATTTTAACACTAATAAACAGTACAATGCATTACTAATTAAACCAATATTCGTGAAAAAATCAAATTTTTATGTACTTGGGCAACCATAAATTCTCATCAACCATGACCATAACTATCTGGCGGACCTAAATACAAGCTAAGAGGGGCACATGCCCCCCTTCAATTTTGAAGAGTCCCCGAAAAATCCTTGATATACTTTCATAATGTTATTGTGCCCCCTAAAAACGTTAGTTCCTACTTTTATTTCACCTTTTAGCATTCCATGTATTATTTATCTTTTAATTATTAGTTTCTATATTATGTACTAGTTTATCTTTTATTTTGTTATTTTATTTCAATAAACTATTATCAATCTCTAACTTTTTTTTGAAAAGAATATTCAAATATTTTAATATAATATAAAATAACATTAAAGTAGTGTTTTAAAACCCGGCCTGGCTGGTTAAACCGGTCGGATTGGGACTTGGGGCCTTCTCCGAGTCAAGACGCCAATGTCCACTATTCACAAACCGGGTTTTTACGAAGAAGCAAACCTTAGAAAGGATGGCGGTGATCGGTGAGCAGACAGTGGCGGGGATGTTGGGGGGTTTTGCAAAGGACGTGCCGGTGAGTCGAAAGGTGGCAACGGAGGTGATTTCCGATGAGTGAAACGACTGGAAAAGGCAAAAGTCGTGCGGCCACAACAATGGATTACTGCCCGCGATTGGTGGGGTGAACAGGGGGGGGGGGGGGGGGGGGGGGGGGGGGGGGGGGGGGGGGGGGGGGGGGGGGGGGGGGGGGAGATGGGTTTTGGTTAAGAGACTAAGGGAAGTGTTTTGGTGGTGATGGGGGTGGTTGTCAACGCTTGAAACTAAGGTTGTGAAGTGGTGTGTTTGCTAGATTTCAAACCTTTAGGGACTTATAAGTGGGCATGTTGACATCACCAGTTTAACTCATTGATCAAATTGGTTGAACCGGTCAACCCGAGACTCGGGCTCTAGACCAGGTCAATACCCAGGTCGGGTTTTAAAACATTGCATCAAAGAGCTTTAATGAATCTATATATATTTATATGTAATTATTTTTCAGTTTCTTCTTTTCCTTATTTTTTATGCTTTACTCTACTCGAAATTAAGATTGATATCTCAAAAGTTGTTAGAATAAAACAAATTTATAGAATACAGTTCATGTTTTTAAGTGTAAATTTTCAAATTTGATATATTTATAACATGATGAAAAACAATTATATTATATGAATATACTTTAGATATTAATATTTCTATGTTGTCCCTTACTCCCCTCTCACATAAATTTCTCAGGTCCATAAGTATACGTTTATAATTACAAAACTTTATCCTAATTTGGTTTGTCAACTTTAATTAGTTTTGATGAACGTATGACTAGGGTAGGGCCAACATCAATTAAGCCGTCATTTTGGGCTTGGAAAAAAAAAATTATAACAAGACTTTCTTGCCATTTTCACACGCAATGCAAAATGAATTTGTAAATTAATTAGTCTATTTCTCTTCAATATTTACCCATTCTTCAAGTTAGAACTTGACTGTGCATGAACCTTTCACTATCAACCTTCAAGTCGTCCACCATGGAGAGCCGAGTCAAAAAGATTTCCCAACTAATTATATTTAGATGAAATGGAATTTTTCCTAATCGTGAAATTAAATTAAATTTTCCATTTTAATTTGCTTTATAAAAGTAATTAGGCCATGCTTTTAGACTGAGGAGAGTCTCCAAGAAGAGGCGAGTGGGGCCCGTCGACCCCACTCAAACATTTAAAAAAAAAAAAAAAAAACTTAATTTCTATGTAGTTGTTCTATCTTTATCTAGTTTTATATAATTTATTTTACAAATCGACTCCACTCATCTAAAAGTACAACTAACTTCTCTTTTTATATGTTTTGTTAAACAATATTTTTTTAGGGGTTTGGATATATATACAGTAAAACATTTCTATAGTGATACTCTATATAGGAATAAATTCTATATAGTTATAAAAAATTCAATTCCTAATTTGAGATAATTATAAAAAAAAATAAACTCTACATTGTAATAAGTTATAATTTTTCTAATTCTTGTCTTAAGAAAAGTTGCCTCCACATAGTAATAATTATCTGTATATTACAAAAAAAATATATGATATGTTACATTAAATGTTTAAGATGAAATAAAATATTTATTTAAAGTTGTTTGAGATAACGATTTATGTTTTAGAGTTATTACTACATCTTTTAACTTGCAAGTAGATTACTCGCTAGCATGAACATCTTCTTATTGAAGCCAAATATTTCTAGTTTCTCAAGTATGTTTAGAGCTTTTTGGCACAAAACTTTTTGTATTTCCGTACTATCATCCTCATGATTATTTCTTTTATCTTCTTGTCAAATTGTAATAATGATTTCTTCTTTAGTTAAAGTATACACGATTTGTTGCTCATTTGGATAATCAAGGTAGACATTAATATCGATAACAGACAAAAGCAAACTCAAGTAAAGAGAAAAAGTCCTTCTCTCTAGAGTAAGGTGTGTCTCTCTGTTCTGACAGAGAGTTTTGTCTTTTAGTCATTTAGTGGTTACTGTGGAACGCATGCATTGCTGAGTCTACGTTAACGTCGTTATGGGAAAGCTTTTCCTTAACTGAAGAAGAAGAAAATGACGTCGTCGTTTCCAACAAGACGATCGAAGATGCGGCTACCAAAGTTAAACATTGCCTTCTGGCTCTCCTTGTCACGGAGAAAAATTTCAGCAAAGAAACATTTCGATCCACAATGTCTCAAGTTTGGAAACTGGAAGGCTGGATCCACTTTACAGATGCTGGTGAGAAACTATTTTTGCTAGAATTTCAAAACATCACTAATCTGCAGAAAGTCCTCTACGGTCTACCGTGGTCCTTCGATAGGGCTTTGATAGCTATTCAACGAGCCGATAGTAGCACTCCTTCTAATACTAGCTGTTTCACACATGAACCTTTCTGGGTTCAACTTCATAATATGCCTTTTGCTGCCATGAATGATGATTATGGAGTCCAACTAGCGTCTGCAATTGGCAAAGTTCTTGAAGTGGATGTTGGTGCAAATGGTTTGGGCTGGGGAAGCTTTCTGAGGGTGAAAGTAGAGGTTGAACTTACCAAACCTCTGGTTCGGGGGAGAATATTAAGGATTGGGGAGCAAAAGTACTGGATTGCTTTCAAGTATGAACGATTACAAAATTTTTGTTTTAAATGTGGAGTTCTTAAACACAAGAATAGAGGTTGCTCTTCTATTAGACAGACTGAAGAATCCAGTAATCAATTCGGGCCTTGGCTGCGAGCCAGTTCACCAAAGTTCTACTCTAAACAATCCAAACGCTACGGTGGCTCAACAGATCGAAACACAGAGCATTGTCTTTCACCTTCCATGGCTGCTGTCGGTGAAACAAGGGGCACAAACGTAAACTCAGATCAGACAGATTCGGAGGCTGATTTTTAGGTAAGAATAAAGGAAGGTAGTAAAAGCATGCAAACTGTCTCTATAACGGATACGTTACATGGTAGAGATGGCCTGTCAGGTCAACTTTCCAAAGAAGATGCGGAGAATATTTCATCCATGAATTCTCCGAATATCTCTGCCAATAATGGATTAGCCCAAGATTCTCTCCCATAATCAAATGCTTTAATTGAGGATGTTACGGCACAAGACAGGAAACAAGCCCCTCCCCATCAGTTTGTGACAGTTACGCCCTAACTTCCTGAAGTCTCCTCCCAAGCTTCACATCAGGGTGGGTCTAAGAGATCCACTTGGAAACGGAAAGCTAGAGGCATTAATCATATCAGCGTGAAGGAAGGTATTACTCAGGAAAAAAAAAAAGAATTTTTCGATTATCAGTAGAAGGTTCTACTGAGAAACACAGTTCCAAGAAATAGAAAGTTTCAGATGAATCTGATACTACTCTCTTCATGGTGGAGGCTGCTTCGCAGCCCCACCACTCCCAATGATTTGCTTTAGCTGGAATTGCCGTGGGCTTGGGAACCCACGGACAGTTCGTGAACTTCATCACTAGGTGAAGACTAAGTGTCCCGATTTTGTTTTCCCTATGGAGACAAAGTGTAACAGGAATAAATTAGAGATCATAAGAAACAAGATTGGATTTTCATGCAGCTTTGTTGTTGACAGTAGAGGGGCTAGTGGTGGCATTGCAATGTTATGGAAGGATGACAAGGAAGTGGATTTGGTGTCCTATACTCAACATCACATCTCTTTTATCATTAATCAATCAACTGCAAACCATAAATTCATCTTAACTGGTTTTTACGGACATCCGGAGGCGTCTAAAAGATCAGGTAGCTGGAACTTGTTAAGAGAACTTAAAGCT